ACTGATGCATTGAATTTCATCACAGAGATAATTATAAAATCTTCTATTTTTGGACATTAATTTTTAAGATAATATAATTTATTATTTTTTCAACATAGAGAACTCCAAAGAAGGAAACCAAAAATTGTCCATCTTCTTCCCACCTAGGAAATATCTGTTGATGTCTTTGAAGAAAATAAAATAAAGTAGTACATATTCAGGGTAGGGTAAAAGTAGGTTTACAGTTGTATGTGAAACAGAGAGTTTATTCTGCATTATTATTTATTAATTATTGTATTATTTTTCATATGTACAACTGTAAACCTACTTTTACCCTACCCTGTCTGTATATGGGCATAAAAATCAAACAATGAAAAAAAGCACAAAATGAAAGCTTTTCTTTCCGCACAGCAATTCTTTCTTTCTAAAGGTAATTACTGTTAACAAATTCTTGTAGTTACTTCCAACAACAACAACAAAAACATAGTGAATTTAATAAAAGAGAGTAAACAAGTTGAGTATAAAATTAATCTGTGTCTACATCTTACTATGAGTAATGCTGAAATAAATATCCCTATTGTATATAAATCTTTGTACATATCTCTAATTATTTTCCTAAAATAAATTCCTAACTTTGAACTGTATGCATTATGGAATTATATAAAATTGCTCTAAAAAAACAGTTTATAAACTAAATTTGAATGGCAAGAATCTAGATTTATCAGTTTCTAAGTTTGACCCCAAATTCACAGAACTCAAAGGAAGTGTGGGCTATGAGCTATCTAACTCTATTGAACTTATGCCAAGTATGGTTTGATATTACTTGAAATTGATGGTAAGTATCAAAATTAGAGAAAAGGATTATAGATAAAGGAAAAATAATTATATTATTCTTATTTATGGTATTACCAAGATTTTAGTGTCTTTATAATTAAAGATACATGAAAATATAATGGCCAAACTAATCTACCCGATGGCTATTGAACAAAGTAAGTTTACTTACCTACTATTTGGCAAAGTACCAAGACTTTTTAAATGCTCACCAGCTTGGGAATTGGAGAATATATCCCTCTTCTACCCCTAACTAGCTGTGTGGTGTCAAAGGATACCACTGAACCCTTTGAGTCTCAGTTTTCCCATTTATAAAATGGGGTGATTGGATACCATGGTATCTCTAGTTCAAGTCTAAAATTCTAAAATGAACAGTCTGTCTTTCTCTACATGCTGAAGCCCCACATCAGGTGCCATTCCCTGATCTAGTTATAAAGGTCTCTCTATTCAGAGAAAGCACACACAGAAGCAAGGATAAATAACCATATGGTTCAGCGGTAATCACAATTACATAACAAAGCTATCATTATCATAAAAAATTTTTATGAGGCTATACAACTAAAACAATCTGGCACATTGCAAAGAAGAGGTTCCTGACCCCTAGGAGTATGTAAAACTACAAAACACACCAATGTATCAATAATTATAGTTTATAATATCTTAAAGTTTACAAAAACCCAGATCTATGTGTCATTTACAGTTCATTGTTGGAGATGAAACTCTTTCAGGCAAATTTTCAGCTCTCTACAAGCTGTCCTGGCCTCTAAACAAGTGTGAATTATACAAATGATTGATAGATTTAAGATGGCTCTGTATGTGTACGTCCCATATGCTCTTATCATAGCTCCCAGCCCACTGTGTAGTTCAAATGGTCAGTCTCATTTTAAATTTCCTGCTTGTCATCTTTGCAAAGCACTTGGCAGGAAAAAGATGATGCAGGGGTTTTCCATTGAATCAAGAAAGCATTAAAATTTTTTAAAAAGATCAATGATAACAAGAATTCAAATGAATGTCCTGGGAAAGAGATTTGTTTAATCTCAGACCAGATATGAGAATAAGAATATCCGGGATCCTGTACTGTGATTCAAAAGAAAGTCAAGACTTCCCTGGTTACAGCTGCTGTCCAGGGAGCTGGTATGTCCAAGTATATCTTCTTTCAAGGGTCAAAAACAAAGTACCACATCTCCTCTTTGGAATGCCAAGCCAGGGCGAGGTCCCTACCCTTCACTCCCTTCCAGAAAAAGGAGCTCTATCTGCATCCTGTCTGGTTGAAGCCACATCCTTAGAAAGCAATTGAAACTGCATCATTCCTCACCTTGTTGAGGCATCTTTTCCTTTAAACAAAGGGCAAGTGACCATTAAAAGTGGCTCCCAAAATAACCTAGTGGTTTCACTGCATTCAGAACGTATGACATCCAGAACAGAGGAAGCGGATGTACTTCCTCTGAAGGGGAAAAAGGGGTAGTGTTACCCTCCACACAGTTACTCAACAGAAACAGCTGCCAAACTCACAAGAGCTTAAAAATCTAGATATGGGATCCTTAGCTATTTATTTAAACATTTAAAAAATTAGCCCCACCCTGAACAGAATGAATTATAGGCATACGGAGTTAATGATAGTAAAGCATTTAATAAAGAATCAGAGTTCTCTCATGACTAGAGATTTGGAAAATATAGTATTAAGAAGTAGAAATATGAAATAACTCTGTTTACAATAACTAGACAGTTTTTTATTTTGAATATCTCAACTTAATGTTTCATAATAAGAGAATAAAAGATCTTAATTTTAAGGAGCAAATATGGACTTGTCTCTAAAATAAAGCTCATAAATTGATAATATAAAATGAAATGATATAATATCAACTGTGTTTGAGTATGGCTAAGGTAAATGCAGGACTACATATTGCAAACAGAGGTGATCATTGAGTAGTGTATCAAGAATGGTTTTCATGATCTTTTGTAGTTTCCTCCCACATAATAAGCTGATATTATTTATATAATTTTTCAAAAATGAGCAAAATTGGAAACAAAAACAAAATGTTCAGAAGACGAAAATGTTTTAATGTAAGAAGGTCCTGTATTATTCTTTCCCTTTAAAAAAAGCAGAACAAATAAAAATTCATTGTGGTTATTCTGTCCTGTTTTCTGAGGAAAAAAATGTCTTACTGTAAATTTATTTCTCTTTTCTATAGTAATTGTTTTATTGAAAGGGTAACACATATCCAGAAAAGTACATAAATAATAATGGAACACACCTGTGTTTATTTATATATAAAGTCATATTGCTTTCTTGCATGTAGCTTCTTCTAATCAAGAGGATGTTTGTGAGATTTGTTCATATTATTGGAAGTAGTTATTGAATATTTTTCACAATGCTATAAAATATTCCATTGTATGAATTTACCACAATTTATCTATTTACTACTGATGGACATTTGGGTTGTTTTCCTAACAACTATTATATATTGTGTTGCTATGAACATTCATATTTTTAAATTGTTTATTGGGGCAACATTAGTTAATAAGACCCTATAGGTTTTGATTGTACATTTCTGTGATACTATATCTGTATATTGTACTGTATGCCTACCACCTAAAGTTAAACTATCTTCTGGCACCATATATTAGCCCCCCAACATCCCCACCCCCCACCCTTTCCCTCAGGCAGCCACCACATTGCTGTCTGTGTCCATGAGTTTCAGTTTTATATCTCATGTACGAGTGAAATCATATGGCTCTTAGCTTTTTCTGACTAATTTATTTCACTTAGCATAATGTTCTAAAGGTCCATCCATGTTGTCAAAAATAGCAGTATTTTGTCTTTCCTTATGGCTTAGTAGTATTCCATGTATATATACCACATATTCTTTATCCAATCCTCTATCAAAGGACACATCAGTTATTTCCATTGTACATGTTTTTTGGTGAACAAATGTTCATATGTTTGGTGAACATACTGATTTATAAAAGTAGAATTCCTGAGTCTTGGGTAGGTGTTAAGTTCAATCTTAGGAAATATTTCCAGTTTTCCAAGCTAGTTGCATAAATTTATACTTCCACCACAGTGTGCATTTCATTTTGGTAAAATATTCATAACAAAAAAACCTATCACTTTGACCATTTTTAGATGTACAATTTAATGACATTAAGTACTCACATGGTGGTTCTAATTTTCCTTTCTCTGATAACTAAGGAAGTTCAGCACCTTCTCAAGATTATTGACCACATGGATATCTTCTTTTATGAAGTGCTTGTTCTAGTCTTTTGCCCATTTTTGTATTGGACTGTCTTTTTCTTGTTAATGTGTAGTTCTTTATACATTTTGGATATGAGTTCTTTCTTCAATATATACTGTGAAAATTTCTCTTTTTACCTTTTTTAAAGGTCAGAAATCACTAACTTTAATGTAGTCCAATTTACCATATTTTCCTTTATTTTTTTCCATATGCATATGTAATTGACCCAGAACCATTTATATAAAAGAACTTTCCATCACTGCACTGTATTGTCATATTTGTCATAAACTGGGTGATCAAATACATATGGGTTTGTTTTCAGATTCTCTGTTATACTCCCTTGGGTCTATCTGTCTGTCCTTGTGCCAGTGCCATATTGCCTTAAATACACAATCTTTAGATGGACCTTGATATCTGGTGATGTATCTTGAGCTTTGTTCTTCAACCCTGTTGTGGCTACTCGCTATTTTATTTTTCCCTTAAATTTCCTTGTTCATATAGTTGTTTTAAAGTATTTTCTATTTTAGAAATAAAAAATAGAACCAAGTTTTCTATTCCTCCACGCTGCCCTTCCTTTGGATGAGAGAAGGGGTCCTTTTCCAGATTTTATTTTGTTATTTCATCTCTGTCAACGTAAAGTAGCCCGGAGGACTCCAGTCACCCTAGAGGAGAAGGCAGCATGGTAACGCCAGCCGGGACAAATTCACCCCTGCTCCCTGTGGGAACGAGGATGCACGCAAGACCTCCTTTCCCGGTGGGTACACCTGGACGCCTCCGGCTAGTAGAGGGCGCTGTGGAGACCCAGCCAGACTCCGCCTTCAGGGCTGTGCGCCGCGCCCCCGTGACGTATTTCCGCGTCATCTGCCGCCGAGGCTTGCTCGCATTGGCTGTCTGAGAGGCAATTGGGGCGGAGCCTAGTGGGTTCGAGGAGAAGGCAGCGGTCCCTTTCCCCGCCCCTCCCCCACCCTCCACTCCCTCCCAGGGACCGCTGCGCCGAGCTGCTGGGGAGGGCGGCGGCGGCGGCGGCGGTAGCTGTACTTTTCTGGGCTCTGGTTGGAGCAAGATTCTGGTGTGCGCGCGGTGGAGCCGCTGGAGCCCGAGGGACCGGTTGGCTAAGGGAGAGAGGGAGGAGGGAATCCCGGGCTGCCGAGCTGCGCCTGCTGGGAAGTCCTTGCGTTCCTTGCGCGTCGAACTGAGCCCTGGGCGAGTAGGGCGGGGGTCCCACCAGGCGGCCACCGGTCCCTTGGCGCTGACTGGACCGCGAGGGGCGCACCGTCGCCCAAAGGCAGCGCCTGGCTCGCGGCCCCGAATTGGTTGCGCGCGACGGGCGCGGGACGCTGCACAGGGAGGAAGCCAGAGGGGCCGCCTTCCCCTCGGAGTTGGAAGCGCCTTTACGGGGTTCAAAATGCCCAAGAAGAAGCCGACGCCCATTCAGCTGAACCCGGCCCCAGACGGCTCCGCGGTTAACGGGACCAGCTCGGCGGAGTAAGTACGGGGAGGGTGGCGAACGCGGGGCACGACTGGGGAGGCCCCCGCTGGGGCGCAGAAAACAGCGGGTGTGCGCCGCGCGCTTGTCTCCGCTCGAGTTAGTCACGTACGTCTCGGGCTGGCAGGGGCGAAGAACTGGCCGCCGAGGTATTGGTGACTAAGCACTGGTTGTGCTCCTGACTCAGACCAGTTAGTGAACCTAGCGAGTCTCGATATTTCCCCCTTTTCCGACCCTTTCAGTCACCCCTAGCCATGAGAAAGTAAAAACTAGCTCTTCCACCGCCCTTCCTCAGAGGTTTTATAAATGCTATCCTGTGGGATTCTGGCCTGTAATGGGGAGAAGGGACAAATGTCATGGAAAGAATGAAGATCGCATCTGCTTCTTTGAGACCGGCTCAGTATGGAGTGGAGTTGGGACCAGCTAACCGCATCCTCACCTTGGTGCCTGACACCTGTGAGCCGGGAGTGCGTCGTTGCTGGACCCCTGCCTGGCCAGCGGGGGCGAGTGTACACCGGCATCCCGATGGCTCTGCCATTGCCGACTTTGGGGGCTCCCGGACCTTGCCAGTAATCCTGGAAACGATCTGATGTTATAGGGAGCGGCTTCCTCTTCATTTGAGTTCATTCATTTATTCAGTCATTCATCAAATCACTCCTCACCTTGCCCTTGAACCCTAAACTCCTGACCTGAGACATGATCACTACTGCCATGGAAACTTCACACAAGGTGCTCCGTCTTTGTATCTTCCAGTGTTGCTCAGTACATTAAATAATGATGAGATTGTTTCCGGGGGCTTCTGAGCTCCCACAACTCTTTGGAGTTTTGGGTAAGAGACAAGAAAGGCTGTGAGGAAGAGAGACCCTGCTAACTGGAGGATTTGGCTCTTAATCTTTTACCCAAACACTGGAGACCTTAGGAAGGTACCTAATGAAATGCATAGAGTAGGCCTGGACCTTCTGCTCTTTGGTGACATCTATAACTTTCCTCTTTGGATTTTAATATTCCAGGGACCTGTTGGCTTGGTGAATGCCCATTCTTTTAATGATCATAAGTCCATTGGTGAACCTGTGGTGTGAGCTCAGCCAATTTCCTAACACCTGCTCCCAACAAACCCTCTTTGATACTGTAGTGTCTATTTTGCATGTTACTGACTTCTACAGGTCATTGTATTGCTTTGCAGATATTTGTTCAGTTTTAGTTTGCAAGAATTTTATCTCCTTAAAATAGACTGAAAACCCCCAGAGATGGGGATTAGTAACCATCACTATTTTTAGGTCAAACTTTTGACTTTTTGTTTTACCACAGTAGATTCTGGCTAAATGATGTGACCTATCATCCTGCTCATACTTGGTTTGGAAGAAGGATTTAAGTGGAAGTATCTGTTGTCATCATGTTAATTGTGACACCCGCTGTTTTCTTGTAAAGGGGAGAAATTTCATTAACAGAAAACAGGACAGGAAGGAAAAGAAGAAAGTGCCCTGGAGTTGGTGGCAGGAAAATTTGGGTGGGACTGGGAGAATTCTAAAATTTGGGTGGATAAGAAGTTGAACTCTGAAGTCAGGTTAAGTTGGAAAACTTGCTGTTACTTGTGGTTTTTTTTGACTTGGGACAGATGTTTCTCTCTAAGGCTTAGGTTTAGTTTTTTCATCTGTGAAAATAGGTCTAATGATAAAACTGATTTAGGGTAGTTTTGAAGATTAATAAGTTAATACATAGTAAATCTTCCATAGATGTTAGCTGTTGGTACCTTTGTTACTGGGTGAATGTTGAGAAAGCTGAAGGAAACTGGAAGGTAATTTTCATTCTTGGTGGTGGATATGTGTATTAAGGTGCCTTTGCTTCTAGATAAATGACTCTCTCTTGCTTAGTTTTCTGTGCCATATGCATCTACCTCCATGACTCATTACTGTGTTACAGTAGGAGGCATCTTTGTGTAGGCTGCCTGATACAAACAGGGACTGTCCCACTACATTTCCTGGTACTAAGAGGAAAGCTGTACACATCTTCATCTTTTACCTTCAAGAGTGTTTCTCAAGCAAAGCTACTGTTCTCATGATTTCTGTGATTAGACCAGGGCATAATTCTGAATCTATCATACAGTGTAAACTAAAGAAGAAAAAAAAAACCATTGACAGTAGAGAACTCTTGATACTAAGTTGGCAAAGTTCATTCTCCTCTGTGGATCCCTTGTACCTTGGGATTTACCTCTGATGTAGCACTTACCCCCTTCAGATTGAGCTGAGTTATATGGGACCTGAAGTTTACGCAAGTTCTGGGAGGTCCTTGAAAAAAAATGAATGCAAAAATGTGTGATCATATTGCAAGGGTACTAAGTTTTAGAACGAAATAAATTGGAAATGAGATCATATTTCCCTGTTTAATGTTTTCATGGTCCTATTGCAGGTAGAATAAAGTCCAAGCTTCTTATATTGGGATGTGAGACTAGGAGTGATTTGCCCACTCCCTCCTCCCCCTACTAGTCTCTTTATTCACATTTCCTGCTGCTTTTTTTTTCCCCCACCACACTGGTCCTCTTTCACTTCCTCCAGGGGATGGGCCATACTTCCACCAGGCCCATGCCCATGCTGTTCCTTTTGCCTGGACCAGATCATCCCTTCCTCTTCCCAAGCTAGGAACGAAGCAATCTTTACCTCTCTGAAATGTCATTTCCTCAGAGGTGTTCACAGAAAACCTAGTTTAAAGTAGATCCCTTTTTCTCATGTCACCTCATCTTTATTTTTTTATTTTTTATTTTTAAAGATTTTATTTTATTTATTTTTAGACAAAGGGAAAGGGAAGGAGAAAGGGAGAGAAACATCAATGAGTGGTTGCCTCTTGCACACCCCCTACTGGGGACCTGGCCCGCAATCTGGCATGTGCCCTGACTGGGAATCGAACCAGTGACCCTTTGGTTCTCAGGCCGGCACTCAATCCACTGAGCCACACCAGCCAGGGAGCACCTCATTTTTAAATGACACTCATTCACTGTCTATAATATTTTACTAGGGTATTTTAAATATCTGTCGTTTCTGTACACCATAAACTATAAGCATAGGGCTGCCATTTTTTGATTCACAGCTCTGTAAGTAGTATTTAGAATACAGTACCTGGCACATAATAACTGCAGTGTTTGTGGAGTGAATCAGTGAGTGAATGAAGTCTGTAATGTTTGTACAATATGGTTAACAAAACTGTCTATACCTTTTCATTTTTTCTTTTATTTTACCTTTTACTAATTTCCCTATCCCCACTTTCTTTTCTTTCATAGTTACCACTCACCTACTCTAGGGTATTTAATAGATCCTTAAAATTCCACACATTTGTTGGGGATATGGGTACCTTTGGGAGGTAGATAATACTGTTTTGTGTATTTCTGTGCATAGATTGCTGAATGCTCTTGTGCTACTATTCAGCCTTAAAAAAGAAGAAGGTCCTGCCATTTGTGAAGCATGGATAAACCTGGAGGACATTATGCTAGGTGAAATAAGCTGGGAACAAAAGAAAAATGTTGCATGTTATCACTTAATATATGGAATCTAAAAAAGTGGAACACATAGATGCAGAGAGTAGAAAGATAGTTATCAGGGGAGGAGAGGTGGGGGAAATAGAGAGATGTTGGTCAAGGTGTACAAAGTTGCAGTTATGTAGAATGAAGAAGTCTAGAGATCTAATATAGAGCATGATGACTAGTTAATATACTGTATTGAATACTGAAAATTAGCTAAGAATAGATTTTAGATGTTCTTACTACATACAAAAAAATGGTTATGTGAGGAGATGGATATGGCTAATTAGCTTGACTCTAGTAATCCCTTCACTATATATGTGTATATCAAATCACCATATTGTATATCTTAAATATATTAATTTTTTATTAAAAATGCTATAAGTCTGCATTAGTCAGAGTAAACTAGGTTATGTTGAGGTAACAACCACAAAATCTTATTAATTTAACACATTTGTAGGTCAGTGGGAAACTTTGTTTATTGAATTCCATTAAGGACCAGACCGATGGCAGCAGCATCTCTGAAATACACTTACATGAGAAGGGAATCTTGAGAATCACATTTTGGCTCTTCAGGTTTCTGGCCGAAAGTGTCACATGTCACTGCATATAACATGGCTGCATATAACATGGCCGCACTGATCTTCAGGTGGGGGTCTTCTTGGAATCAGGATGTTTGAACAGGAGCAGCAATCACCCCAAACTTTTATTTGATTGTCTTACTTTTTAATTTTAAAAACCAAACAGCATGTTTCTGAGCTCTATTCATAATGCTTTTTTGTATCTAGTTTATTATTTCTCTCAGCTGCAGAGCAGTAAGTCATGTGCATGTACCATATTATACTTATTCCCCTAGAATTAGACCACTTTGTTGTTTCCAACTCCTTGCTGCCTCAACAGTGCAGCCATGACGGTCTTTGTACCATAGCTCCTTTTGGATCCTGTGAGAGTTCCCTGTGGAAGGCACTCAGAAATAGGATTGCTGGGTTGTAAGGTACCTTGCCTCTCCTTTCAAGATGAAGCACATACTTATTCTCTTTCTTTGTTTTTTAAAGAACATTTTTAATTTCACCAAGAGAAGCCTGAGACCTGAGGAGAAATCTCAGTCGTAACACAGTGTACTTTTCAAGACCTCACTTTTTCTTTGACCTTAGGCAGCTCCTCTGTATCCTGACTTTTAGTTTTCTTGTCTGTAAAGTGGAGATGATAGTTTACAAAATCTTTACCTTAATGGTTTGTAATGTCCTACCTAATCAGGTCCTTTGTTTTCTTCCACTGTTCCCTTCACTCATGCACTCCATCTAGCCACACTGTTCTCTGTGCTGTTCCACGCTAGGCTGGGCCCATTCCCATCTCAGAGCCTTTGCAATTCCATACCGTCTATGTAGAATGCTCTTCCAGATACTCACATGACTTGCTTCCTCACTTCATTCAGACCTCTGCTCTAATGTTTCCACAAACAGAATAACCTGATGGCTATTTAACACTTCC